TCAATTCTTACAATGACTACGTTTACGAAAGTGTAAAATGAACTTAATCCGAAAAGATGATTACCGGCAAATTTCTTCGCTCGAAGTTTTTGTAATTGGCTTTCTACTTTCTTTCTTTTAATTTAAATGTTACAACTTACCCGTGTTACTTTTGACCACAATCTCCCCTACCTAAGCTTGAAGTCTTAAGCCGTAAGAAGAAATTGATCAATCACAGTTGAATTTGAGAAGAATAAAGTTCTGCCTTGAGGTGTCACGAACCAATTAGAGGGCCGCATTAACGTCTTAAGACATTACTTAAAACGGTCTTGAAATAAGAACCGACTATGAGTACCGGCCTATTAGTTAATTTCTTACAGTTTAAGACTCAGATAATGGCTTGTTGTAAAAAAGCCATAGTAATGAGACAATAATTACCCTTCACCGATCATGGTTACTCCCACTTAAAATAGCAGCGATGTAGTCAGGGGGGACTGACGATTCCTACAGATCAGTTGTTAAACTTCTCGACGGGGAATCCCCGGTCCACGCAATAATCGATCGCGATTAATTCATTGATGTGTGTGCTCTCGTGGTTTTAGTCGCGGCACGCAAGCAATCAATCCGTCCCCGCGAAGTTTACGTCTTCTAGTGTTCTCCGTGAACCTTCCATTAAATTTTCACCGGGAATTGTCCAGATTCGACCCGTCTCCCTTTTTTTGGCGAGCCCCTCTACCCGCATTGGAGAACTTCTCTCCGACATGACGCGGCCAGAGCCCGACGGCGAGGATCAGACCGATTCTCGAATTCCACTTCGACTTTGTACATCGCCGGGATTCCCACGGGATATTCTTCGGCCATCCACGAGAAAGCTCCCGTCGAACAACCACGAGAAAAATTGGTGAAAGCCGTCGTCCGTTTTCCAGAGACTCGCGCTCGGCGTTCGCGTCGGAAATACTCCGGAATGCCGTAATACCGGTGTTAACAACGGCAGATGCTCGTTTCTCAGCCGTGAAAAATGAAATATACGTACCTTACGGTCCGTCCTTTACACACGTTGCCGATTCATTCGGCGTTAAAAACTTTACGACGCGCTTTCGCGCAAAACCGCCTCGCTTTGACCGTCGGCGATAACGCAAACTCGCAAACAAACGCGTACAAAAGCTGCGGATATTAATTTCGGTCAGCGTAGCAGTGTACATACGTATTTTCCCTTCGATTTTTATAAGTTGTTACCCGGTTTTTTTTTTTTTTTTTGGTTAATGCATTTTGGCCCAGCTGGATAAGCGATTTTTGACGAATATTCACTGATGCTCGAGCTGTAAGACTCCCTGTCTTTAAACGTAAAGAATGTCAGTCGTGTGCAAAACAGAAATAAATCTGTGTGCCTTAAACTGTAATCTAAAAGTAACATTAATGGTAAAATTGGCTGTGCACTCTACACTTTTAAAGTAAAATTCATTCTTAAAGAGATTGAAAATTGAGCCATTTTTTCCAAGATTGACTCAATTTTCACTCTTTAAATCGAGATTCCACTCCAAAGAATTTAAAGAATAGATGCAGCACTGACAGTAAGTTTTGAAGCCTTAATTATACTCACAAATGTATGCTTTAAATATATGTTTTAAAGCGAGATCTGAAACAAAGATTGAAATTCGTATCGTAAAATAAGACGCGGCCAAAACGAGTACAACGAGCATATAATAAATCAAAGCACGAGGCTCTCGATCATTTTCAAATTCGTGTAATTTTTAATTTTTGGATCAGTGCTCAGAATTTTTCCGGCGTGGTTCGACGATTCGGATGTTCCGAACTTTAATCTTAAGCTGTTTGGATCTTACGGGTCTGACGGCGTCGGCCCGAAGAAACGCGGAAGGATGGGAGAGTCTAGAGCTTATTTTGGAGAAACGATCTCGGCACTTCCGCCGATCACGGAATCACGACGTGGCGTCGACTTTGCCGCATTCGAAATACGATTTATTTGTTCGTCATCCGTGCACGAGCGGGGCTCCCAAATCCAATAATGATTTGAATACGGAGCGGGCCGGTATGATCGTACGGTTTCGCGTTATTTTCGGTCGCGCGCGCGGCGCGGTATCGCGCCCCCGTAATTTTATAAACACTTTGAAAATCTTGCGTCACCGGCGGGCTTCGCGCGTTCGAGATTGCCTGCCTGCCGTTCCTAGGGCTTCGTCTGCGCCGGCAGTAAAATAATTACAAAATCGTACGCGAACGAAACGGGATAAATCGAGGCTACGGCGCCCCCTCACCCCGCCCAATCGGGTACCCGGTATTTTTTCAGCTTCAGGAAGCCGTCCGGCGTTCTCTCGAGGAACCCTCCTGTCTCTCTTTCTCTCTCTGCGGTCTTCCGAGGGCCTATACAAATTCAAACCAGCCATTTTCAAGTGTTTGCCCCCTCTCCCCTTTCTCTCACTTTGAATCCGGATCATATCCGAGCGGATTTGTTCCAAAAGAAATCTATTGGAAGGTACAATAGTTACGTGTTTAGAGCAATTGTCACGAGAGAGAGAGAGAGAGAGAGAGAGAGAGAGAGAGAGAGAGAAATAATATTATTATAAACTTATAATTGTATTTATGTATTATATGCATACATTTGTTCTTTTTTTAAAGGATGTCAAGTGGATCCTAACAATCGACATGAAGCTAAGTCCACAACCTTGCTTTAAGAGGCTGTAAGCTGTAAGTGACGATATATCGGCTTTAGAACTTATGCCTTTAGACCGTAAGAATTGGATTTTGCTCAATTTGCTTAAGTCTAACAGTCAGAGCAAAAACAGTTTAAAGATAGAAATTATTGTCACTTAATCTCTTTAAACTTATGTGACTTAAGGCCTCTTAAAGTAAGGCTGTTAAAAAACTAAGGTCGGATATCTTTTAATGTCTGTGAGCCAAATATTTGTACGTTCGTATTGTGTGAAGCTGTCTCGGCTGTTTGTCGCACGGCGGTTATGTCTGATGTCAAAATTGCAATGCGTGATATTTTACATCGGCATTAACATTCCCATTACATCGGCACAATTTAAGTCTCGAAAGTCTAATACATTAAATTAGCCAAATACGTAGACACGCACAGATATGAATCCTAGTTGAAATCCCATAACTAGACTTTTATAATTGCGTAATATTATGATTGAAAAATTATATCGTAAGATCGGTTTAATCCAATTTCGCTAAAACATGACGGAACCGGAAAATCAAACCGAAGATGAGGCGGTTACCAGCGATTTTTTGGAGTCTGGTACGGAAGATGTGACGACCGACGATCAAATACCTTATAAGAGTACTGATGATGAAATACTTTATGAGAATACTGATGATGAAATACTTTATGAGAATACTGATGATGAAATATCTTATAAGAATCCTGATGATGAAACGAATGAAGATACTGAGAAGAACAGATCTTGGATGGACAAGCGGTCTGCTAGCAGAATGAAATCGTAAGGGATGCTTGAGAGTCCTTTTCCTGAATTGCAAACATTACCTCTCATTTAGATAAATAGACTGATGAATTTGCACGAAGCAACATGTAGATCAAAGTCGAATCCGGGGGAAAAAAGTGAACGGAAGGCAATGTCCGACATCATGAGACCATCTAACACGAAAACTATCAAGTCCAATCCGCTCAACAGCTTCGAGCACGAGTATAAAACTAGGACGACTGTTGGATTAGGTCGATCCGGGACGACGCGAATCTGGAGAAGCTTGAGGGCGAGGCAGCCGGTTAGAAAACGGAACGATGCCAGCTCAAATTATTCGTGATTTAATTTAATTTGCATATTTTTTATGTTTCTTTCGTCACATCTCTGCGAAACTGAACGCTGAGAGAAATGTTTTGTATATGTGACTTACAAAAAATTTTCTTACTTTTTAATTAAAAAATTTTTGTTGTTCTAATCAAAATTTGATTATTTTAATTAAATTCTGGTTAAAACAATACAATTTTTTTTTAAATTAAAAAGCAAACAAGTTTTTGTAAATTACATATCGTACAAAATATTTCTCTCAGCGAAGTCTTATTAAGATTGTAATTAAGATAACTATTGCAAAAATTATACTTTATTTGATTTACTTCGTTAACTTATTATTCTTTACATTGCGGAGTAATTCTTTACATATACGAAGTTCTGTACAAATTTGCGATATTTGCTGCAGACGAGGATACAGCGAAGGGTGTCGAGAAACGGAAGCGAAAGATTATGGCCGAGTGTACCGCCGCTCTTTGCACGAGATACAGTTATCGGACTGGAGAATGAATGGGAAGAGGAAAGACGAAGGAAGCGAAGGGACATTTTTCTCTACGACTCAACGGACAATGACAAGGACAAATTTCTTCGAAATCAGCAGATGAGCGACTTTGCTAATCGCAAGGAACTAGGCCACATACGTGTGCCGGTGTTGTATTCGGAATCGAGGTTGAAATTATCGGTGGATTGCGCGGTTGGCGACCAATGTCCTGGTTTGGTGGACGGTGATTACATGACTGTGGAGTTGCCGTCCAAGCGTGTCTATGCTTACGTGGTTCTTCACGGACTGAAGGGTATGCATTTACTGGAAATTAGTTCGATGCGAGAGCGCAAGAACACTTGGAAGTTCTGCTTCTATCAAGCGATCGTGGCATTGTTAGCGAAAACTCAGCTCAGGTATTATGTCAAGATATGTCAAGCAGGATAATCGAAACCATAATCTTAGCGAACAACCTGACGATATTTATCGTCATTTTAAATATCAAAATTACAAAAAGTTACATCAGCTTGTTTGCTGGAAATGTTCCATATATTTCAATCGAAACATATGAAATATTTTAATATATTTTGATGCGTTTTGATTATTCTTACACTCAAAAAAAAGACACTTATTTTTACAGTCTACTTAATTAACTTATTCAAAAGCAAATTAAATTATTTCGATTATCTGTCCGATCAATTCGAGATTTGCTTCTTCTATTCAAAATTTATTTGAAAGAAAACTTTTATCGAAAGAAAACCCTCGTCAAGATAAAAAGATACGTGCGTGGAGTTTGAGTCAAGTTGCGTGACGTAATTTTAACATCTCGCGTTGGAAGAGCGAGAATTTAACTGTACTTTTACAAGAGTTTGAGAATCCATTCAAAGCGTGTCATTTCTTTTAAATACGACATTATTTGCATGGAAGATACAAATACGTGCGGAGCGCTTGTATCGATTACATCTACGACCATGCCTGGATGCTCTTCACCCACATCGGCTCGATCAACGTGAAGGCAAAGCAACGTCTAGACGACGTCGTGGTGTACAATTACAAATACAGCGTCGAAGTAAAATTGATCGGGGAATTGAAAGATGTCGAGGCACGGTTCGTCACCACTTTGTATAAAGAGCCTGGTGTGCAATCGCAGATTACGTTAAGTAGGAAGGATCCCCTGCGAGTCGAGGTGAAACTCGGCTGTGAGAAGGTGACCGATTCAGATTACGTGCCCGTGCACAAGGACAACTCGCCGAAGGAGCTCGAACGGTGGCTCGACCAAACGATCACGGACGTGTATCGTGACTATATCTTGCGCACAACCAGATTCTCATTGGCCTTCTGGCAGGATGGTTTGTTTTGGTACCTGTACAATCCCTACCGGTGCGATAAGTACGGCTTCTGGGAAGAGGACGGTTTCGCCTGCATCGTGAAGTTCTGTTCCAAGGACTCGTTACGGAGACACCTGATGATCCTCATGTTGAGAGCCCACGCCTTCGAGGAGGACGCATCGCGATACGATTATCGATCCAACTATGAAGGCGAGGGGAACGTTTACATCGACGTTGAGCTCTTCCACGTGTCTTTCCGCTACTGCCAGCTGGACAATCTAAAGTTACTGCAACGCGGGATGTCCAAGCAGCCGCGACGCGCCGACGGAAAAAATTCGTCGGATACGCTTGAGATCGAGGACGAAGAGGACGAGACCGGAGATCTAGAGGAGGATGAGGAGGGCGATCCGAGGGAGCCAAGGGAGAGAGCTATATGGCTGAAGTGTTACGGGCCGACGACCTGGGGCAAATGCGCGTCCGCGAACCGGAAGAGACCAGGCTCGACTGAGGTCACCGCCGCCGGTAAAGCGAGATGGCATCGATACTACGTGGAAGAACCCAACAGGCTGTTCTCCCTGTGGGGCGGGATACACATAACTGACGATATGTTCGACGAGGCGAACCGCGGTATGCAAACGTACGCCTGTTACGTAGTGTGCGCTGGCATGACTAGGATTATGGCGCCGGAATATTGGACCCCGAAGACTCTCGACACGATCGTCGTGTGCGGGGATCGTTATTATACGCACAGCAAGCACGAGGCCGAGCTCAAGTCTGACGGCGACGAAAATGTTAATCACCCGTTCAAGTACCTCTGCGATAGTTTCGATATCGGCGAGATCGTATTCGAGGCTCGGATGCTGCCGGCCGTTAGCGGCAGATTGTACGTTGAATCGGACGAGGGTCTGTGGAGGACACTGGAGCGAGTATTCTCGAGTTATCACTTCGCTGCGCTGACGTGCGAGAGCGCCTGTCTTGGCCTCTTCAAGTTCTGCGGAGCTTACTACGTGTGCGATGTGAATTCGTCCGGCCCGCCGTTCTTCCGGTACGGCGACGGCGCCGCGTATCTGCTGAGAGCCACATCCTTCCGCAAATTTATGACGGTACTCGTGTTGATTATCGGCTCGTCGGAACGCAGCCGATTCAGCCTGAATCCCATCGAGATTCTCAGGATTGTCGAAGTAGACACCGCACTCGATTCTCGTAGAAAACCACGTGACAAAAAGTGCCATTTTAGAAGATTCAGAGGGAGAATAACGGGAAAGTCGAGATTCGATGGGGAAAAGAAAAAAAAAAGAATGAGTAAGTAGTAAATCCGAACGTGATGTAACCGCATGTAACGATCGAAGATAATAATTGAGGACTCGATTAAAAAAAAAAAAAAAAAAAAAAATTGTAAATGTGTAAAATAAAAAATTAAAAACCAATCTTGTTATTATTTTAAATAAAATTTACAATTAAATTTAATTCATATCGATGCAATTATTCTGATGCAATTGATTGAATTGATTCACTCATAAGCTCTCCTATCCTATATCCGGAAAATCGCTGAGCAAAAAGTTTCAAACGCGACCCGTTTCAAAATTTCTAAACGATCGACGGGCTTTAATATTTATGCGTGGTGGAATATCGAAGCTCCGTGTAAACGTTTATATAAACGGGAATGTATTTTCCACAACAGCGAAGCGATTTCAATAAGAAAATATTGTTGTAAAACCGCGTTGCGCTCCAGCAATAACAATAAGCGGTAGTAGAGAAAGAGTATCGGGAGATTTAAAGTTCTCGCGATCTAAATGGACACCTCGCTGCACACTTGTATGTAAATGAGAGAATTCTCGATAAAGGTATTACATCGAGGTAAATTGATATTACTCTCTTCGGATTAGATTGAAGGTCAATGAAAATCCAACCACGAAAAATTCGAGATAAAATAAAATCAATTCAAATTAATTTAATTTGATCTATAATTATATATATATATATATATATATATATAT